CACTCCATCTATCTCACTATATTAATATGACCAGTCTGTATCATCCTTGTCCCAATCCTTCAGAAACTGAAATTGGTGTTCCTTTTCTCTAGAGACTGTACCACCTATTCTGAAGACCTGTATTTCCTGTCCCCTGTGACTTTGTCCCCATACCGGTCCTTTTTTGGCAAAATCTTTCCTACTCCATCTGTTCCTTGATTTTGCTGCATTTGACAATGGTAACAAACCATTTTCCTATTTCATTTTCTCTCCCTGACTACTCTCACGACATTGTCCTATTTCTTCTTCTCATTCCACATTTCAAATTGTACATGTGGTGATTTTTTTTCAATTCTCTTACTTCTAACACACCTTTTTAATCTTTAATCCTGTTTTCTCTTTACCTGTTGGAGAATGGGGTAAAGGAGGAACTGGGGAAACAGAGGCAACTGGTAGGTAGGATGTTTCTAAGAGCTACATTCATTGAGGCAGAAAAATATTGAGAACTATAGCTTATCACTTTCCATGGAGAATTCATTTATTCTCATAGATACATACTCAGATCTATGCAATAATCCCCAAATTCAGTCTCTATTATAATTTTTACCTCTTTCCTGAGACCCAGTCCATGCTCCTGGAAGCATAATATTTTTATGTCCCTCTATTAGACATTTCTAACTTGACACAGCAAACTTTGCCATCAACTTTCCCATCTAAAATTATTGCATTTACACCTTTCCTATCTTATGAAAGACCCAACAAATAGGTATTATCCAAATTTGAAAAAAAAAGAATGTCACCTCCTTCTTTTTTTTTTTTTTTTTTGGTGGTATGGGGAACTCAGGGCCTTGCACATGCTAAGCAAGCGTTCTGGCACTGAGTTACAGCAGCAGGCCTTCTTTAAAATTTTATTATTGAGACAGAGTCTTGCCAAGTTGCCAGGCTGACCTTGAACTTGGGATCCTCCTGCTTCAGCTTCCAGAGTAGCTGGAATTACAGGCATATCCCATGGCAGCCTTCATTTCTTATATCTAGTTAGTGATAAATTCATCACTGGTACCTTCCTTCATTAAAGAGAAAAGGCAAAGCAAAGAATTATGTATCAAAAAAAAAAAAAAAAAGCTACACTTAGAGCTAGGGATGTAGCTCAGAGGTAGAGTACTTGCCTAGCATGTGCTAGGCCCTGGATTTGACCCCCAGCACAGCCAAAATAAACAAAACAAAAAAGCTATCCTTATTAATTTTTTCTATTACATTCACTACAATCTTGGGGTTGAGAACATACCTTAGTGGTTGAGCCTCCTACTTTAGCATGCACAAGGCCCTGGATTCAATAAAAAAGTGGGGCTGGGGATGTAGTTCAGTGGCACATGCTTAGCGTGTATAAGGCCTTGGGTTCCTTCCCCAACACTACAAAAAAAAAAAAGTGAGTATGTGAGTGTGTGTATGTGTGTGTATGTGTGTGTCCTCAGAATCATTAAAAATTATTGAGGATCCCAAAGAGTTTTTGTCTATGTGGATTTTATCTGTTACTATTTACCATATTAGAAATTAAAATTGAGGGGAAAAAATCATTTTTCAGTATTGGTGATTATACTCGGGGTTGCTTTACTACTGAGTTACATCCCCAACCCTTATTTTTATTTTAAGACAGGGTCTTACTAAAGCCAGGTGCAGTGGCACATGCCTATAATCCCAGCTACTCAGGTGTCTGAGATAGGAGGATTGGAAGTTCAAAGCCAGCCTCATCAACTTAGTGAGACCATGTCTCTAAATAAAACATAAAAAGGGGTGGGAATGAGGCTCAGTGGATAAGCAAATCTCACTAAACTGACAATGCTGGCCTCCAACTTGTGATCCTCCTGCCTCTGCCTCTGGAGTTGCTGAGATTATATAGTTTTGCCTGGCAAAACTTAGAAAAATTTAAAACACAAGAATATATAGACGGGGGTTGGGGATATGGCTCAAGCGGTAGCGCGCTCGCCTGGCAAGCACGGGGCGCTAGGTTCTATCCTCAGTACCACATAAAATAAAATAAAAGGGCTGGGGATGTGGCTCAAGCGGTAGCGCGCTCGCCTGGCATGCATGCGGCCTGAGTTCGAGCCTCAGCACCACATACCAACAAAGATGTTGTGTCCGCCGAGAACTAAAAAATAAATATTAAAAATTCTCTATCTCTCTCTCTCCCTCCTCTCTCACTCTCTCTTTAAAAAAAAATAAAAAATTAAAAATTAAAAAAAAATAAAAAATAAATAAAAATATTGTGTCCGCCGAAAACTAAAAATAAATATTAAAAAAATTCTCTCTCTCTAAAAAAAAAAAAAGAATATGTAGATAACATTCCATTAACTGTCAGAGCAATTGGCAACTTATCACCAATCATGCAGCCTAGAAAACTCCACCAAAACTTCAAAAAGGCAAATAACATCATTATTATGAAGATAGTTTCAACCTCTAGAATTCCTGGTTTACTTTGAGATACTGCTTTACTTTGGTTCTCTTATCCATCTCCCTATCAGTCAATGACTACTGATGACAGACTTTTGTGCACATAGACTAAATGAAGAAAAAAGACTGCCTTTTTACAAAATACTCTTCAAATTCATTTGCATGCCTGCTGATCCACAGCCTAACAAGACCTATCAATTTTCCTCCTGCTGTTCCTCTTTCCTTCCTCCACTGCACACTGCACTTTAGCCAAGGTTGGAGGTCCCAAAGAGAACAAACCTTTTTCTAAAAGCTTTAGAGTCTTTGAATGTATGCTTTGTCTAGAAGGCTTTCTCTTACTTATCCTACAGACATAGTTCATAAGGTTCTCTTCTATGAAGGTCTCCCATGAATCCCCAATTACCTTTTCTCTGTATTTTCATAATACATTAGAGTTTCTCACATTGCTCTGCAATTACTGTTTATACATCTGCCTCCTCTTTTGAACAAAGACAAAATTTGTTTTATACTCTTCTCTGCATTTCTATAGTACCTTACTCATAGTGGAAACCCAAAGATGTGATCATATACTCAAATCAGTCTTTCAGAGTCATTTCAAAGCTCATCTATCCCCAAGTACTCCAGCCCACACATTATTTGCTTCTTCCTCTGAAGTTCTGCAGTACTATATGGAAACTAAGAAGAGAGAAAATCTTAAAGGAAACTAATAATTATTCCTTCTTACAAAAGAGAATGGGTCACAGAATCAAGTTTTAATTCCCTGGTCAAAAGCCTCCATCAAGTAGGTCTTCTACACCTTTTCATTTTTATTATTCTTCAGTATAAACTTAGCAATATGAACATCACCATTCCTAATAAACACACACAAACACAGACACACTATCCATTCTATTTGCATTCCTTTTGTTTATATTATTCTCCCCTTTAGGAAATACATTTCCCTGTTATCCTAAATCCTTTTTTCCTTAAAAGCTTGGTTCAAGACCTATTAATCCCATGAAGCTTTCTGGGACTGTGCCAAACCAAAGGAAAATTTCTCCTTTTTGAATATCTAGTACATTCCCATTTGTTCCATATAACTTAATATTTAGTATTATTTAATAATATTACATAAATAAAGACAGCAATCCCAAATATCTTGATAGCTCTTCAGGAGCAGGCACTGCCTAGACACCAGGATCCCAATGACTTGGGAAGCTGAAGCAGGTGGATCAAAAGTTTGAGATCAGCTTCAGCAACTCAGTGAGATCCTGTCTCAAAATTAAAATAAAAAAAGCTGGGAACATAGCTCTGTGAAAGAGTGCCCCAGGGCTCAATACCCAGTTCCCTAAAAAAAAAAGCAGGCACCTGTCTTCACTCAAAATATCCAAGTGCCATTAAAAACCAGATAATGGAAAGGTTTCTAATCTTACATCCTTTGTATCAGCCTTGCTAGCAATAGGAAGATACAGCATATATAAATATTACTTGATTTTCTTCCTAACTGATCAGAATAATCCAAGCTATTATTTTCCTAGGAATATTTTATCTATAGATATAATTAACATTTTGAAAATAAAATAAGTGGTGTGAGATGCAATTCCTCAGCACCTTGAAACTGCTAACTTACACAAGACACAGGTTACAGGTTACTCATTCTGAGTCTTCAACATACTTACCCTTCCCTTTTTTTGCTCCATTATCTTAGACATATATTTTTATTTTAGTTAATAGTTTTAGCTCCTTCAATACGTTCTGATGTATGATTACAGGCAATAATGCCAAACCTTTTAAGTAGAGCCAAAGAAAGGAGGGAAGTAAAAATCATGCATAAAATAAAATCAGTCTTTGAAAAACTAGAAATTATGGTAATTAGGTCTCAGATCAATGTTGAGACCTTTAGCCAAGGTTGGAGGTCCCAACCTCTTTTACTTAGGAAGAATTTCTCTAAAGGGTCTATAACCATTCCCTTAAGTATCCAAATGGGGCAAGAATTATTTAGAAAATAGATTAAACATAACCATCGTAACTTATTCCATGATATCATGGATTGATGGTAAATTTTGAAGATCACCTTCTCCAACTCTTCACTTTTTTTTTTTTTTGCCTATGTTATAAAGCCAATACAAAGCAATACTACAGAAAAACATCAGTTAAAAATAACTTTAGGTTTAGGGCGGTTTAAGCCCTACTTGTTTGTAAGTACAGTATATCAACCACAACATTAAACTGAATGTTGAACTCTTATTTAAACACTACTAAAGAGATTTGAAGTTAAGTGCAATTCTTCCTGAGATAGATGTGTGTGTGTATACAACACACACACGATGTATATGTATGATCAACACATATGACATGTATATGCTATTCATATTCACATACATGATAAACATATATATATATATATATATATATATATATATATATGTATATGTATATTCTTTCAACAAAGGATTCCTGGAATGAATTTCATCGAAGAAAAGAAGACTGATGAATGAAGAAAGGAGGAAGCTATCAGCTGACAAGCAATAGCTTCCTCACCCCATTTTGCCCCTCCCCAGAAACGGTAGGAAGTAGAAAGCTGCAGAATGTACCTTCCAGGCCAGAAGCAAAACATTGAGGATGGCCAGCAATGGGCAGGGTCCATTCTCATTCTGGGTGATGATGGGTGTGTTCTCTTCCTTCCACTGGATCCACTTGATGTGATACACAGATTGTCCCGGGAAGCGTTCCTTCGAGGCTGCCAACACCTGAGCGGTGTCCTCCTCCTCCTCTCTGCACAGAGGGGCAGCCCGAGGCAATACTGCCGCGCCTTCCTCCTCCTCTGTAACCTTGTTCTCTGATCCCTCCTCGCTATTGAATTCGGAGCTACTGGGGAAAGAGTGCAGGTTAGAGAACGACTCTAGGGAGTCCAGGCTTGGCGATTCCCCAGGAGGGCTCGGGTCGCTGCAACTGCTGCTGAGGCCGCCAGCGCTACGGGGCTCCTCGGAGCCAGCGGCCGCCAGTTCTGCTCGGCAGGTGTCAGCAGGATCCAGGCGGGGCCCCGAGTCTCCGGCCGGACCCAAACCAAGGCCCGCAACGGCCTCGGCTGTCTCGGGGGAGGCGGTCACCTTGTGCTGCCCTCTCAGAGGCGCCTTCGCGGGAGCAGGACGCTCCAAAACGCTCTCCTTCAAGTCCAAGCCCGGGAAGGAGCTGCAGAGTCCAGGAGTCTGAGGAGAGCCCGCGGGAGAAGCGGAGTCTGGGGGGCTTCTGGCAGTCGCCGCCCCCTGCCCATTCCCGCTGCCGTTCTCCGCCGCCCGTACTCCAGGACCATCTCCAGAGGCAAGCCTGGTCTCCTGTAGTCCTTCTGGGGGAGTACCTGTTCCCGGCCCTGGCGCGGCCGCCACCCCGTGTTCTAGCGGCAGCAGGCTCTCGGGGCCGCTCTCCATACCCGGCCGGCCGCCCGCCCCTGGCTCTATAGAGACCGCAGCCAGCACTCCTCAGCCAGCGCCTCCGACGCCATGACAGCGGCACTGGCAGTTACAGCGCCCTAGCGCGGCCGCTGCCGCGCCCTCCACCGGATAGGGGCGTGCCCCCGCGCGACTGAGCTATGCGGGGCGAAGGCGAACCCGCAGCAGCCGCCCACGTAGCCCAGTCCCTCCCGCGTGCGGATGCCGGCTTGAGTCCCGAAAGCCCGGCGTGGCGGGCGTGGCCGGGGGCGTGGCTAGGGCGCGTCTTCGCGGCCTCAGCTCCAGTAGGAAAACATCCTCTCACTCTGTGGCCGGAAGTTGAACTCTGGGACAGCCCCACCGCGAGCCGCTGCTTTAAAGGCCCGCGCTGGAGGCGGCTGAATTCTTGGCTGCGACCTCTCAGAGCCGGGTCGGATGTGGGTCTGAGCGGGGTTGGGGTGGGTATTGGAGGTGGTCGTAGCATTTGAAGAAGGGCTCGGGAGACTTGTTTCCCCAGCTTGTAATATGAAAAATTCACAGCATTTCTTACCGAATAAAGCTTTTAAAGGCGGAGATCTGCTCGAGGTGTTTAGATTACTGCAGTGCACAAATTTCATTCTCCCTGTTCTGGCTGAGAATCGCTGCGCTTCCCACCGGCTACTGGTGCGACGTTCGCCCTATAGGAGGCGTCAGTGTGGTTGTGGATATTGGCCTGCGCAGCAAAAGAAAGTGGGTAATTTGGGCCAGTAATAATAAATTTAAATAAAAAATTTTTGCGTTCGAATTAGCCAAGTCTGTGGTTTTGGTTTTGGCCTCATTTTGCAAGGAGTGGGAAGCGCCTGCTAATGAAAAATGTCTTTTTCTAATAAGAATTGACTACTCTTCAGAACATGCAATTTTCAAAGTTTTAGAAAAGCACCATTTCTTGAAATCCCCCTTTCCTCCAGCTCTGGGGACACAAAAATTACAACACAGATCTTATCTGACGTATTGAGTCAAACTCCTGCTTATAATCCCAGCTATTCTAGAGGCTGAGGCAGGGGGATCACAAATTTAAGGCCTGTCTCCCTCCACCTTAGTGAAACACGGTCTTAAAATAAAAAGGGGTGAGGATGTAGCTTCCTTAGCATGCCCCTGGTTCTGAGTTCAATCCTCAGAAACACCAAAAATAAAAAACACCAAACAAACAAAAACCCCTGACACATAATAGAATATGATATATTCGTATTCTATTGGTTAGAGAATATAGCCAACATTACAAAGTATTGTTTTATTCATTCTTCAGCACATTTTAATACCAAGTATATTGGTGGGTACTGTTTTTATCGTTGCGGATGCCACTGTAGTCCGCAGAGTTCTTATCTTCATGGGAATTGCTGTTTGGCTTTTTTTTTTTTTTTTTTTAAGTAAGTGTTGGGAGTCAAACCCAGGGCCTTCTAAGCAAGTGCTCCACAACTAAGCTATATCTTCAGACCCTTGACTTTTTTTTTCTAATTGTTTCTTTCTTTTTTTCTCTTTTTCTTTCTTTCTTTCTTTTTTTTTTTTTTTTTTTTTGGTAGCAGGGATTGAATCCAGGGGCACTTAACCACTGAGCCGCATCCCCAACCCCCTTTTATTTATTTATTTTTAATTTTAATTTTTTTTAGTTGTAGGCAAACACAACAGCTTTATTTTATTTATTTATTTTTATGTGGTGCTGAGGATCAAAGCCAGTGCCTCACGGGTCCTAAGCAAGTGCCTACCACTGAGCCATAATCCCAGCCCCCAACCCTTTTTTATATTGTATTAGAGACAAGGTCTCGCTGAGTTACTTAGGGCCACACTAAGTTGCTTAGGCTGGCTTTGAACTTGGAGTCTCCTGCCTTAGCCTCCTGAGACACTGGGAGTACAGTCATGTACCACTGCATCTGAATATTGCTATACTTTTAATACGTGCTCGGTAAGTATAGTTTCTGAAGCAGGCAGAAGATGGATTTTTTTGGAAAGCAAAAAAATCAGAAAAGATAATATAAAGTTTCTTCAGAATGTTGAATTTAGGAACCTTGTGTGTATTTGGTTTCCATATTGATCCATAAGCAATAAATTCTGTAGTTAGATTTGAATTTTTCTCTAAGAAAGAATTGCCAGTATTAAATATGTGAAGGCTCTGGGTTTGATCCCGAGTACTGCCTTCCCTTCCCCCCAATATTGCTGGATTAAGCACATTACAGAACTTTGAAGTACAATTGAGAATATTATAGATTTCAGGAAATTCAGAATTTAGTATGGTTTCTCAAATTTAAGAAGATCTGTAGAGGTTTGTTATATGAACAAATTAAATAAATGAAGAATCATACATAGGCCATTAAACTACACATAGATCCAAAAATCATGGAACATAGTTCTCAAATAATGGCCCTTCAGCATTTTTTAAAAGCCCTGCTTGGACTGGGCACAGTGATGCATGCATGTAATCCCAGTGGCTCAGGAGACTGAGGATTGCAAGTTCAAGGCCAGTCTCAGCAGTTTAGTAAGACTCTTCCTCAAAAATAAAAAGGACTAGGAGTGTAGCTCAGTGGTAAAGCCCCCTGAGTTCTATCTCCGGTATCAAACAAACACAACAACAACAACAACCCACTTGGAAAAACCTGTACTTATACTGGTAGACTTTTATTAGTTTATGTTTCAAATGTTCACATTCATAATTTTAAAATTTGTATACAACAAAAAGAAGCAGAACCAGTTTTTCTTTTCAATGTAGTCAATAATTATATAGGTCAAGATGAAGATTAGCAAGAAAATATATAATTATTTGAGTTCATAAAAATGTACATAGTGATAGAGGCATGCCAGAAGCTCTGGGTTCAATCCCTAGCACCAAAAAATTAATTAAAATTTAAAAAAGGGAAATAATTATACATAGTTTGTTTTTTAAATGCAGGTAGGGAATGGCATCTAAGGAGAGTACCAGAGACAATAAAACAATAAACTGAATAATGTCTTATTTTTGCTTTATATGTATTTTTACCTAATCTTTGAGATATGATAAACCATTTTTAAGTTAAAATGTTACTACCCAAATTCATAGTAATTATTATTTGTGGTACTTGGTATTGAACCCCAGGGGTACTCTACCACTGAGCTACATTCCCAGCCTTCTTTTTAAATATTGAGACAGGATCTTGCTAAGTTGCCCAGGCTATCTATGAATTTGCAGTCCTCCTGCCTCAGGAGTAACTGGGAATATAGGTCTGTGTTACCAAATCTAGTTTTTAGGATTAGTCTTTTTTTTTTTTTAATATTTATTTTTCAGTTCTGGGCGGACACAACATCTTTGTTGGTATGTGGTGCTGAGGATCGAACCCGGGCCGCACGCATGCCAGGCCAGCACGCTACCGCTTGAGCCACATCCCCAGCCCCTAGGATTAGTCTTTAAAGTTACGGATGTAATAGTCTTAAAAAGTTAAATAGCTTCTCTGCTCTATTCCTCCACATCTTTGAATACTGCTCTTTTTTTTTTTTTTTTTGGTACTGGAGATTGAACCCAGGGGTACTTAACCACTGAGCTACATCCCCAGCCATATTATATATATATATATATATATATATATATATATTATTTAGAGTCAGGGTCTCGCTACTTTGCTGAGGCTAGTTTTGAATTTTTAATCCTCCTGCCTCAGCCTCCCAAACCACTGGGATTACAGACATATACTATTGCACTTGGCTTGAATCCTGTTCTTAAGAAGTAATCCCTTTCAAATCACAGCTGTTTTTTGGCTCCTTGTCCTCATATTTCCAAGTAGCACAATTAAACACTGATTTCTTCATTTAAATGTTGTAAATATTTTTTATTTATTGCTTTATCTCTATGAAAATGAGAAATTAATTTTCTCACACTGTTTTTCCTCTTTGTTTCAACATCTCAGCTATTTCATGACTGGCCCCTCTCTCCACTCCACCCTCCACCCCTGAGTTCTCAGGATTCAACCCAGGGCATTTTACCACTGAGCTACATCCCCAGTCCTTTTTACTTTTTAATTTTGAGACAGGGTTTTGTTAAGTTTCCCAGACTGGCCTTGATTCTCCTGCCTCAGCCTATCACAAGCAGCCTACCACTGTTTATCTTACAGGCCTGCTTCACAACTACCATTCTGGGATGTCTTCACAATTTTTTTAGAGATTCCTTCATTTTCTCTTTTATTCCTTTACTTCTTGAATCTCCTGTCATCTTTTTTCTTGGATTTGGTTGAACATATTCTTAATTAGCTTCCTGAGAAAAGAGTGCATGGGTAAATTTTTGTAGAGTAAATTTTTGTAGACCTTGTATGTTCGAAAAAAGATACACCCTGTGGGCTTGGTTTGTAGCTCAATGGTAAAGGGCTTGCCTACCATGTGTGAGGCACTGGGTTTAATCCTTAGCACCCAATAAAAATAAATAAATGAAATAAAGGTGTGGTGTCCATTTACAACTAAAGATATTTTTAAAAATAGACATTTATAGTTTGGGTATAAAATTCAAGGTTGCAAATATGTTTTCTTCATTTTGAAGTCATTGATTATAATCTAGCTTCTAAGAGATAATTGACAAGTCTGATAACCTTTCCTCCTCTACATTATCTGTATCTAAATGTCTTTTATCTAAAGTTTCCTTTTATTCTTGATGTTCTGAAATTTCAGTAGTTAATATTTCTTTTCTTTTTTTTTTTGTAGTTGTAGAGGACAGCATGCCTTTATTTTATTTGTTTATTTTTATGTGGTGCTAAGGATCAAACCCATTTCCTCACACATTCTAAGCAAGTGCTTTGCCACTGGGCTATAGCCCAATGCCCAGTAGTTAATATTTCTTTCTGCGAAAGTAAAATCAAAATGGATGAAAGACTTATGAAATTAGACCAGAAACTTCGCAACTGCTAGAAGAAAATATAGGGTCAGCATTCTATCAAATTGGTGTAGGCACCTTAATAAGAACCCTAAATCTCAAGAAATAAAAACAAGAATCAAAAAATGAGATACCATCACATTAGAAAGCTTCTGCACAGCAAAGGAAATCAGATGTGAACAAAGAGCCTAAAGAATGGGAGAAAACCTTTGCCAGCTG